TATTAACGACTTCCGTTCACTCTTTTCTCCAACTGTGTTGGACAACAGAATGCACTGCATTCCAAAAATGATGCACAATGAATGCTTTCTCTCTCGTGGAGAGAATTGGGTTCCAGGCTAGAATACTTCCAAAGGCAACAGGAGAAAATGGCTTTGGGGCTCAGGGTAGAGAGACCTGGAGGCAGCCTGGACATGGAGTCTGGGAGACTCAGCCTCCAGCACCATGAGACCTTTCCCTTGCCACAGCTTAGGCTGCCAGCTGCTCCTGGTGCCTCCCAGTTTGGTCTTGCCCATCTGTTCCTGGACCCTGTCACTCTCACTGGACAGTCCCCTGAAGGGCCCAGAGGGCCTGCCACCCGCTTGGCCAGGGACAGCTGAATTAATACTTCTGTAGCTTTTTGGCACTCCTACACGTTAAGTGCACCCACATCCCACATAAAATCTAATTTATTTACTGTTAGTTGTAATTTCCCAGTAATTATATCACATGTGGGAATTTTTAGGAAGTGAGACAAGTAATCCGTAAATTGTTTCCAGTTGTTTATAAATAATAGATGTAACAATGGTGGTGATGTAATATTGCATTTTACATTGTAGCATAGTTACACATAGATTACTATACAGCAGTGGTAGGAACATGCAGTAGGAATGAATGAATCTTGCAAACATATTGTTGAGATAAAATAGCCAGACATAAAAACGGACTTACTGTTGACTGTTGACTCCCTTTACATAAAGTGCAAAAATAGGCGATATTAACCTATGGTGTTACAAGTCAGGACAGTGGTTACCCTTGGGGAGGAGGATAGTGACCTGAAGGGGTCTGAGCAGGGTTTTGGGTGCTGGTAATGTTCTGTTTCTCAGTCTGGGTGCTATTCATTTGTGAAGCTTCATTGAGCTGCATGTATTTGCAGTTGTACATGTTTCTGCATGCATGCTGTATTTCAATGAAAGCTTAGCAATCTAAACATTTGTTGGTAGTAAATTTGTAACTTGATCTCACGTTTTGGAGCCAATACATATTTTTCAGGTCTCAAAACATTTTTCAGATGTCCCAGGCCTCGTGTATTTAACAGTCTGGGCCACAGATGGGCCATCTTCTTCTTGTCTGTGGTACAGCTCCTTCTCCCCGACCTCTCTGGACATCACTGAACTGTGGGATGGTCCAGGAGGTCAGGGCCATGGGCTGTAGGGGAGGCCTTGCCAGTCACCACCCTTTCAAATTGGGAAAAGCTCACATTCAGCCCTTCCCCAAGCATCCTGACCTTCTCTACCCAGGTGGCCCTGACTGGCACTGATGGCCCACGGTGGTTATGTCCACACCATTACTTGGAATTTACTACACATGCCTCAGTTTCCTTATGCTTGTCTTGTCCCTTATGAGACTTTTGAGGCTGGGGCCCTTCACATCCTTTGTTTTTGTGACCCTCCAGCACCCAATACAGAACCCCGGTAGAATAGGCAGTCAATAAACATCAGCTCCAGCTGGGCACAGTGGCTCATGCCTGTAATCCCAGTGCTTTGAGAGGCAAAGACAGACGGATCACTTGAGTCCAGGAGTTCGAGACCCGCCTGGGCAACATAGTGAGACCCATAGTGGGAGGCTACGCTGGGAGGATTGCTTGAGTCCTCCAGCCTGGGCAACAGAGTAAAACCCTGTCTCAAAAAGTAAATAAATAAAACTAAATAAACAACAACTCCTTGACCTTCATCTTTGGATTTCTCTTTCCCACAGATACCCTGACCCGCACGGGTTCAGGCTTGGGGACATTTACAAGCTGTGTGACCCTGGGAGTATTTGTTCCTTCCCTAAGTCTTGCTTTACTTATTTTATAAATCAGGACAGCAATCCTAGTGTCACGGAGCTGCGGTGAGGCTCAGATGTGTTGCTGCAGAGCAGGTGTCCATGGATAGCGCTGTCCCTGTGCCCTCGGGTGGCATTCTCAGTCCTTGCCTGGTACAGGGTAAGAGGAGATCACGGAAGGAAATGAATAGCCCCTTCATCCCTCAACAGCACCCCAAAGAATCCACTCCTCGAAAAAGTTCAAAGAAACACTAGCAATTTATTGATTTTCTATATTTCCAAAAAAGCAAATACATTAGTGTGTCACACAAGGAAACTGGGCCTGGCCAGCACAAGGTTCCTCTACAAATATGAAGCAAGCGGAGGGTGGGCTACAGGGAAGCTCCAAGATCCCTCACAGCAGCCCTCGGCTTCCCTTCCCTGCCCACCCCAGCCACAGTCTTGGTCCTCCCAGCCAGCTCAGCCATGTTCTGAGGTGGACACTCAGAGAGCAACGGTGCCTCTTGGATACCCAAGAGGAGTGTGGAGTCAGGGCTGCTAGTGTGGTCCCCACTGCAGAGGTGGCTGGTGGTCAATGACTGGATTTGTCATTGGCCACCAGCACAGGAGATCCCAGGGTCAGGGTAGGGGCAGAGTCTGTGTCCTTCCTCATTTGGCCCCAAATTGGAACTTCTTATTTTGGGCATTGGCCCTGGTAGTGTGAAGTCAATGTGGACTTAAAATTCTGAGACATGGGCCAGGCGTGGTGGCTCACGCCGATAATCCCAGCACTTTGGGAGGCCGAGATGGGTGGATCACGAGGTCAGGAGATCGAGACCATCCTGGCTAACATGGTGAAACCCCGTCTCTACTAAAAATACAAAAAAATTAGCCGGGCGCGGTGGTGGGTGCCTGTAGTCCCAGCTACTGGGGAGGCTGAGGCAGGAGAATGGTGTGAACCTGGGAGGCGGAGCTTGCAGTGAGCTGAGATTGGGCCACTGCACTCCAGCCTGGGCGACAGAGCGAGACTCCGTCTCAAAAAAAAAAAAAAAAAAATTCTGAGACATGTGTCGGCTACATGAAGCCTGGCAAACTCCTTGCTCTCTTTCTCTAAGAAAAGCCCCTCTCAGTTTTGCCCCTCTCAAAGTGACAGGCCTGGGTCAGTGGCCCGGGTGACCTGAGCTGGCCTGGGAGGGAAAGAGCAAGGTCACCAAAGTAAGGCCTGCCCTAACTGTCCACCTCAGCCCCTGAGGTCTGGAAGGCTGCCTGGTTCCCAGGGCAGGGGCTGGGCCCATGGGGCTCTTCATCCTGTGGGGGTGGGAAGAACATGAGGTGAGGGGCTGCAGGAGGCCAGGGTAGTGCTAAGGGGAAGGGGCATCTGCCTGGGTTGGTAAGTTTCACAAGCAGAGCTGCGTTTCCCCTCCCGCCCTGACCGGACTGCACAGCCCCCACCCTGGGGAGCCTTAAAGCCAAGGACTCGTGTCTCCGCTTTCCTCCAGGAAAACATAAGCTGCATGAGGACAGGGATGTGGTCTGTTTTCTTCCCTAATGTAGTCTAAGTGCTTAGGACACTGCCCAGCACAGATTGGTCTGCCATAAATATTTTTTAGGAGAAGAATTCCTCTGGGTTCTGATGGCGACAAAGAAGGCCCCAGAAACCTATGCTCAGGACAGTCCAGGGAGACCAGGCTCCACGTGGTTCCCTGAGAGGGAGAGGTGGGCCAAGAGTGGGCCTCCCAGTGTAAGCAGAAGCAAGGGACAGACCCACAGTACCACAGCACAGTTGGCTAATGACTGGGGACACCTCTCGGAGGACAGCATCCTCACATGTCTGGCTTCCCCCATCTCAGTTGTCATACTGAGTCCACATCGGTGTGTTCCAGCTCTGATTGCTGGGGCAAGAGGTGGGTTTGGACTCAGGGGTGGTGCAGAAGAGGAAGAGACTTGGGAGGAGGCTGAGAAGGGGTGGGGAGGAGGAGCATCTTATATTCTTCTAGAGAAGGGCACAGACCAGGAAGATAATTCCTCTCTAACACCAGCAATGCTAGCATGGAGGTAGAGGCTGGAAGGAGGAAGGCTTGGGAGCGCTGGGCTCTACTCTGTCCTAGTGTACACCAAGGGCTGTCCACACAGGTTTTCTTATAAGGCCTTCGGGAGCCCTCCTGCTACTGCTCGTCTGAAGTGCACAGAGTCTGGGGGCTCGATGTGGCTGATGCCCCTAATGGCCCTGTTTATCACATCCCCTGTGGGTTTCACAGAGTGGAGACAGGACAGCTGGGGTCAAGGGAAGTGGAGGATGGCCCCTGGCTGGGATGTGAGCTTGCAAGTATCCTGATATGGCACTTTCCTTTCCTAGTCTACCCAAATTCCCCCCCTCCAAGTCTCCTGGGACCCCAAACACTCCCTCACTTGACTCACAGCAGGCTTGGTGGAAATATCTTCCTGGTTAATTTATATACCCCAACTCCATCCCACTAGAAGCTGGAATAGGTATATACCCAGCCCCGCCTGTTCCCCTCTCCACTGGGAATATGAAAACCAAACAGCCATTCCCAGAACAGCTCTTGGGAAAGATCTGCAATAAAATAGCCTTGTTAAAAAATCATTTTTTTACCTTCTTTCTCCTGCAACAAGTAGATTACAAGACCTCTGAATGCGGGGTCTTTGCAGGCTGAGCCTGCTCTGATGGGCACACAGCCCAAGAGGGTGGCAGGCACCATCTTTCAGCTCCTACTCGCCTGAGCAGGCCTCACTTGGCAAAGTATGCCAGAGTGTCCTGCTGTCCTCTGGAGCCCCACACCTGCCCAACCTCAGTCCTTGTGGTGCTGTAGGAGGGGTGGCATCATCAGACACACCAGATTTGCCCATGAGATACACCAGACCTCCCTTCCTGGAAAGCAGTCTCATAAGCGGGGAGGCTGGCCCAGCCCCAGTTACTCCTGCACTCTCAGAAACCGCTGGTAGGAAGCCTGCAGGACTCCTCTGAGGGCCTGACTGCAGTGATGGCCCCCTTGCCCTGGCACCATACATTTCAGGAACTATGAGCCGCTCACCAAAAAGCACATGTTGTCCTTGCCTATGAGTAAGAAACACAGGAGAGTCCTTTTTGCCACCTTACGAGCTGCAACAAAATAGCTTACCCAGCTTTTTGCAGTTTGTGGTTATGCTTTAAGACACTCACACATACACACATGCACACGCACATGCATGCACACACTTACATTATACACATATATATACCATTTCTCAGAGGAAGAAATATTGACATCACATATAAGCCCCTTTAACTCAAGAAAGCCCCCCCCCAACCTCCCTAACTCCCATTGCCTGCCAGTTCCCCCAAGGAAAAAAATCTAAAAATATTTCCGTTATCCACAGTTTTTAGGTTTCTTTTCAGTTTTTTGTGAACTTTTCCAAATACTGCACAGGATGGACAGAAAACCCCATCCAGCGAGGCCTGAGGGCTTCTCAGCTGGGTCATATCTTCCTGAAAAAGGAGAAAGTCCTTCAGTTAGTGTTTACAGTGAGATGTTTCCATACCACAAGCCCAGCCTGTACTGCCACCCTCTTCTCACATCAGCCCTCAGGTGTGCCCTGGCCTGAGACTGGATTCAGGGCTGCCCTAGACACATTTATAGGTTGCCCTGTGGATTCAGAAGCTTGCCAACTTTGTCTGCCACCCTGCCCCACTGTCCCCTGTCCACTGTGTTCTTCACTAAGCAAGAAGCTGGTGTTCATTAAGGATCTGCTGAACCGAATCTCTTTCCCCTTTTCCGCCTTCAAGTTGTTGCAGCTTGTTTACCAGGAGAGGATATCTGAAGTCTTATTTAACCTTCATCCAGACCAAAGTTACAGTCCTCTTTCCCCACCAGGGGTTGGGGTGGGGGTGCTGGCAGATAGCCTGGCTAAGAGGTCCCCCTCAGCTCAGGAGACCCTGTCTTGATCCCAGGCTATTTGCAGATGGCTCCACGCGGGGTTGCCTCTGAGGCCCCTCTCTAGGGGTGACGACATCTGGCTGGAGTATCTATTTGTGATTCTCAGTTTACCTGCATAAGAAACACTTTAGATACTCGTTTAAAAATAGACTTTCCTGGATCCCACTCCGGGGCTATTGAGTCAGAATAGCTGGGGTTGCGCCAAATGTGTGCATTTTAGCAAGCAATCCAGATGATTCCAATGAACACTAAGGTCTGCAAGCCTTTCTCATAGGATTGGTTCTGAGTTTTGGGGGCCTAGAATCATCAACTGGAAATAAACTTGTCCATACTGGGCATGTGCAGAGACTGGAAAGTGAATTATAAAAGGATAAAAAAGTGAGCTGTGGATGACCAAGCCCAGAATAACATATTCTAGAACTCCAGTTATCTATATTGTAGAACTCACTGTAGTCCATGTGAATGGCACCACCTGTGTTGTTCAGTGTGCAACCTACACATTCGTACCTAGCAGTCCTGCCCAGACCCTCTGACCCCTCTGACACTCCCAGGACATTATACACCCCTAACGTCCTGAAGGTGGGACAACCCACGCCCCCAGCCAATCAGTCTACACAACTGCTTGTGTTGTCCAGAGCTGGGCGAAAGGATGCTTCTGTGTCCCTGGGAGCACAGGCCTAGCCTCTGTCTCTGAGACTGGCTGAGGCTGTTGCAGTGGTCCCGGAGGCATCCTTTGCCCTGAGGGTGGGGCTATTGATTCTTACCTGCAAGCCTAACTTGCTTGGACAGCCTCTTCTTAGAATCGGGAGGTGAAGTTCCTGAGGCTGTTGGCCCCAGCTAAGGTCCCCAGCATGTTCCTATCAAAACCTTGCTGCAAAGGGAGAAACAGCAACCAAATGACACAAAACTGTTTGGGGCTTGCTGTGGGGTCAGACACTGCCCACTGCCCTCCCAGAGCATCCTCGGCTCACATAGCCTCCGCTCTTATTGCTAAGTACATGTGTCAGGGCTAAAACCGGCCTCAGTAAATGTGCAACCAAACATAATAACTCTCCACGAGTTGGTGAAATGTGTTTGAACTTCCACTGACACATTTGAATTTCCTACTTGCATTTGCAGAACCCTGAGTCAAGGCATGAGGATTTAGGTTAGTATTATTTTTAAAACAGAGCAACAATCAAAATCAGATTGGAGACGTTGTCAATTGTTCTTCCCTCTGACCATCTCTATCTTTTTTTTTTTTTTTTTAAACAATTCTGGCAACAGCTCTTGGGCAGAGAAGACATGCCCAGTGTTTCTCAAACAAAGGAGCAGGGGGCTGGCACTGGTAAGAAGCTGCTGTGCTAGAAGGTTCTGTTTACTTGTCTGTTCTCCACCTCCAGCCCCGCTAGCCCCTAAGTGCCTGCTGGATGGAGAGTGAGTCTTGTTCCTGTTATTTCTCCCAGCATACAGCAGGTGCTCAATACATGCTTCCAAGTGAACGTGGACAGCATGATTTGAATGCAGCAATAGGCCCAGGTGCCCTTGAAAAGAGGGTCCTGCTGCCAGCCCTGAGCTCTGAGGGCCAAGCCAGCCATCACCAACCTGTGGAAACAGGAGGGGAGATGGCATAGGCGATCCGAAACAGCAGCTGGTTCGAAGCCCTGCTCCTCCTGTCTTTAGGCATGTATTACATGATGCCATTTTTCTTCTGCAGATTTGCATGCTCATTCCTGTCGAGCTTGGCTCATGTCCTGACTCACTGAATCAAGACAAAGTCCTTGGGCCCTGATTCCCTATTCAGCAAAATGGATACAAGCCATGTGGCCTGTCTCACCTGTGCTTGTGACAACTCAATGCATGATGGATGTGAAGGCCCTTTGGGAACAGAAGCACCAACTAGATCATGCCCAGGACGGTTGTCAAGCACAGCTAGAGGGAGGAGTGGAGACTGAATGGGGACGCTGGTTCCCAAAGGCATGTGTAGAAGGGAATTCCCACCAAGAGCGATGTCAGCGGATTCTCTGTGTGTCTTAGGCCGGGGGTGGACTCCATTTGTGTTTTGGGGTAAGCTGAATGCTTTGGACCACCATTACACAGTGGGAGGAAGCTCTCACCAGTCCTCCTTACCTGCCTCCCCGTCTCCCTTTGTCTATCTGGCAGCTGCCGTTTGCCAAGCCCACCCCCACTGCAGTGCTGTTGGAAAGGAGCTCTGGAATGTCGCATGGAGAACAACGGCCACTCTTTGCTGTGACCTTCAGATTTCCCCAATCATCTTTGGACACCATGGGTTCATGGGTCTCCCTATTGTCCCCTGCCGTGCTGGAGGAAGAGCTGTGCTTCCTTCTGCCCCAGGCTGCTCAACTGATCCCCAGGCTTCCCTGTCCTCCATCCCCATCTTTCTCCCTTCTTTGCCTACTCCCTCTCTTCCCATGACAGAGATGCTTGAGTCCTCTCTGTCTTTAACAGATCTCTTTTTACCCACTCTTTGGCTTCTTCTTCTCCAGGCTAAATTGCAGTGAGCAACATCTCCTCTCAGCAACTCCACATCCATCCCCACCCACTGCCTTGCCCCCTGCAGCAGGCCCCATGGGGCTCCCTTTGCTTGGCCAGCAGTGCTCCTGAAGGGCTCCAGAGACTTCCGAAGCACCAGATCCAGGGCCTTTCCCAGTGTCCAGCCCCTGGTCCTCTAGGTAGCGCTGGGAACTGATGCCCTGCCTTCCTTAGAGCTTCCTCTTCTCTCACCAGGTCTTCAGCCCCTTCTGGCACCCTACACCGTTCCCCCTTTCCCTGGCCTTTCCTCCTTGTCCCCAGCGGATGGTCTTCATATTTCTGCCCTGTCCCTCAAGACTTTTCCATACACATGCATCCCATGGTGGTCTTGCCTGTTCTCATGACTTCGCCTGCCTGAACAAAGCTCCACTCTGTATGGTAGCTCTGGCCCCTCTGCCAGGGCCCACACCACCTCCAGCCTGGTCTCCCATCCAAGTCTTCCAAACTCAACCTCTCCAAATTGGGATCCCTCTTCCTCCCATCTCAAAGCCTTCTCAGCCTCTCCACGTCTGATCTGTCTTTGTGAATGTAACCATAGTCTTCAAGCTAAAAGCTCCAGCCTAATCAGCCCCACTGCTCCGTTTCTTCCACCTCCTGTCCTTTATGTCCATGCTCATCACTGAGGAATGGGAAAGAAGGGGCCATGTGAAGATGTCCTACAACAAGACCTTATACCCTAGAGGACTCTGCCCCTGGCTAGGTGGGGAGGGGTTGAGGAGGCCAAGGTCACCACAGGACAAGGACAGCAGGCTCCAGGCTTCTCAGCCCACCCTGCCTGGCTCACACGTGTGGGATTAGTCTTTCTAGTGCTGCTTTGATCATGAGACCCTCTATTCAAAACTTTGAATGGCTCCCCGGTGCCAAAAGTGCAAATCCAAGCTCTTCAGTCTGAAATTAAAAGGGCTTTGTAACCTAGCCCAAACCTACATTTCTAGCTGGAGCGCACCCCATGTCCTCAAAAGACTTGTGTGCTTTTTGTCCACTCTGCTTTTCAGTTTGCTGCTAAAGGATCCCACCCCAGGCCTCTCACACATTTCCTTGATTTCCTCTGCCCTCCATGTTCTCAGCACCCCTCGCAGATCCCAGAGCCCAGAGACTTGATCAGAATGTTCATCACATTCATTTTCATGTAGAAGCTGTCTTTGTTTCTCAGACTGTCCCAAAGGGCAGGGGCGTTTCTCCAGTGCCCAGCCCAGAGCCCAGCATATGCCAGGTCCTCTGCTCATGAGCAGGAAGAACCTCAGAAGAGGATGATGTCCTGAGCTCTTACCTGTCTGAGGACACCCTGCAGTTCCTTGCTGGACCACATGTCAGACAGGAGAAGCCGGGCAGCTTCTGCGGCCTTGGGTGAGGCACTGGGCAGGTGAAAAGTGCATTTGTGAGATGAGATTCCAGGAGGCGTGAGAAGGAACACCCTCTTCCCTCCCACCCCCACTGCCAGGGACTGGACACAGGGGAGGCCTCAGAGGAGGCCTCAGGTGTGCAAAAGAGAGGAGCCCCATTGGGGTGTGGTGAGCCTGGTCACCCTACACAGTGGGCACAACCCCATGACCCTGCCCACCTAGAGCACCCCAGGACTCTCCTCAGGGGCCATGAGGGGGCAGTGCTCTTCCACTCCAGTCCCCAGCCTTGTCCTGGGAAGAGGCAGCCCCACAGAATAGGATAAAGTCCCTATTCAGTTGGACCTGCTGCCCCATGCCTCCTGCTGGCCCAGTGTGTTGCCTCTTCCTTCCGTGCAGCCCTGGGGCCTGGATGCTGGACCCTTCGCTCCACGCACTCTCAGCTTCTGGAACTTCTCCTCCATTCAAGCCTCCCCCGTCCCTGGCTCCCCCTGCCCTGGGTGCTTTCCCTGCTCCATGGAGAGCTGCGGGACTGCCTCCTGCTGTGTAGGGTGAGGAGGGGCTCTGACTGGGGTGCAGCCCGTGGGAGCACCCCCCGCCCACCTGCTGCGGCACAGGTTGATGATGTTGTTGAGCATGCTGCTGGAGAAGTACTGCTTGGCCAGCTGTGGCTGTGAGGCCATCAAGTTCCTCACGGTGTAGCAGGCTGAGGATAAGATGTCTTCAGAGTTGTTGGTATTGCCAGTGTGGCTGGTGAGGAGCCTGGTCACCTCTGGGAACACCTGGTTCCCTGGGAGAGGAAGGAGTTGGGGCACAGGGTCAGGATGACTAGGGAAGGAGGGGCTGAGGGGTTCCCTCTGGGGCCACACTCTTGGATAGCCTTCTGCCAGGCTCTGAGCCAGGGGGCCCTCAGGGCTTCCTGGCAGCTCAAGCTCAGGGCTCAGAGACCCAGATAGGACTTTTGCAGATCTGCTCCCAGCCCTCAGGTGACAGGCTCCCCACTCCTGTCTCCACACCTGTCTTTGGCCAGCTTCCTTTCCTGGAAAGCTCATCCCAGGGAATGGCTTAAAAGATGACCTTCAAGCAGGCTTTGAATTGCAGGGAGCCTGCCATGTCTCAGCTAGAGGGGGAGGAGAGAGCGGGACCTTACCCATCACTCTGTGCAGCACAGGGTGGCGGGACATGTTGCTCAGGAGGGAGGCTCCAGACCGCACCACATCAGAGTTGCCAGATTGCAGGAGGCGGGCAATTTGTGGCAGGCCCTTTTCCTTCAGCCCAATCAACTGGCTCATGCCACTGGACATCTAAGAGAGAAGGAGCAGTTAAGGAGCTAGCCTGTGGCTTCCCAGGCACCATGGCAGGCAGAAAGGGGCAAGGAATCCCAAAGGCAGACATCCCAGAACGCTTTCTCTTTCACGTTGGAAGCACTGGCAGACAGAAATCTGCTCACATGTGGGTAACAACAGAAACCTAGGCTAACATGCACCTCCCCTTTCCCAGCCCTGATCCTGTCTCCCGGATCAGCCTGCAGACCAGATGGGTGGAGAGAGGGAAGTTTCTTTTCCCCTACTCATAGTAACCCAGAGTCAGCTTCTAGACTAACCCAAGTGTCCAATGCTGCTCTCTCACCCCACTGTCTCAGCGCTGCCCCCATTATGTCTCCCCATACTATCTGCCCATGTGAAACTGTACGGTCAAGGGTATTTGTCAGTTATACAGCTGGCCTTCTTCTTCCAACTTTCTTACCTCTTTAGAATCCAACACATATTTGTTGAGGGCTTGCTTGAGAAAAGAGGGCTAAGAAAGGGTCTGGGCCCACATGGAGACAGAACTGGGGTCCCCTAGAGGTAGGCCAGTTCACCCAGACCTCTAAGCAACAGAGCCACCCCAAGTGTAACAGGTCTAGGTGAATTTGGCGTTCTCAGAGCTGCCCAGCCTCACTCCTCATGGCCACAGAAGTTCTCTGCCCTTGGTCCACTCTAGTGCTGCTGCTGCTCGGTTCCCTTGTCCTAAGTAAAGCTGGAGAACAGTTGGCCATCTGGCCCATCTCAACTCTTCTTGATTGCAAACAGGTTTCCTCTGGCTTTGCCCCATATCACTGTGCCCTCAAAGCTACATACATTTGGCCTTAACATCTGCACGAATTCTGTCCAGTCTTCTCTGGACCTGCTTGGACCCTAAACCCTCTTTTTCCACCTTTGTCAGTTCAACAAATGGGAAACTCCTTTTGCCAAACACCCTCTCCACCCCATTCCCTAACCTCAAGCAGAACCCAGGAGGCCAGCCAGGGACCAGGAACCATGTGCCCAAGAGGGTTGTGTGGGCATGGACAGAATCCAGCATTAGTGGGCCCACCCACTCTGCACCCCCCAGCAGCTCCTAAAGGGCAGAGGTGTTTCCCCAGTGCTCAGCCCAGAGCCCAGCATATGCCAGGCACTCTGCTCACGGGAGGCTCCGAAGCCAGGGGACAGGCTGGGGGGAAAAGGAGGGAGCGGAGCCTGGACGGCGGCTGGAGGATGGGGCCACTGCGGGAGAGAAGGTACAGCCCCACTCACCAGCCCCTTGCTGGCCGTCAGGTTCTGCAGGGCACCCGCACAGGCCTCCAGGGTGGCATCTTTCTTGCTTTTGCCCATGAGGTTCAGGTAGGTGCGGATGGCATCTGAATGGTACAGCCAGCCACTGCCCTTGGGGTTGGTCTCTTCCTCGGGCAGGGGGCAGTCATAGTTGTTGTTCTGAAGAGAAAGAGCAGGTCAGGGGGTCAGTGGGAGCCTCGTGAGAGGACACAACCCAGGCATTCTGTCCCTGTTTCCCCAGCCTCAGGGTCATGGTTCCAGATAGGGCGAGCTGAGGAAGCGCCTGCGGAGGCAGGGAGCCTAGGACAACCCCGCTGCACCCCTTTCCTCTACGCACTGCAGCAGCTCCATGGGATGCAGGAATGGGCCATTGTCCTCCAGACCATCCCAGGATGTGGGAGAAGAGAGCATCCTGGCATCTTGGGAGCTATGCCCCAGGGCAGCCTTGGCCCAAACCTTCCAGATACGGGCTGCTTTGGGCTCTCCCATCATGATGCTTCCTCCTCTTCCAGACTCAGACAGTAGGTTTGACCCAGCCTGGGCCAACAGGGGTGGTCTGGGACCTGGATTCCACAGCTGGGCCCAGTGAAGGAGGCCTGACTACCCATCCCCGGCAGTCTTCTGCTTCTGGGGAAGCCTGGGAGAGCTCAGGAGATGTTGGGAACCAAGGCCAGAAAGGGTGAGAGTTCTGGCTTTCCTCAGATTCTCAAGGGCAAGGGAGAAGATGGGGGAGACTTGATCCATTATACAGTAAGAAAGACCAAGGCCTGCAAACAGAGGGCTGGAGTTTTAGACCTCTAAGGTGGTCTGAGCCCTTACACTTCCAAGAACAGACTCCCCCTTGTGCAAGATGAATGGCCTCTACTCAGCTCCTGGCATGCAGCATGAGCCCCAGGCCAAGGCGTCAGCACGGGCCTGTCCCTTAGGGCTGGTTTCAGGCTCCAGGAGGGCCCAGAGGAAAGGGCAGATGAAGCAGTGGCTCCTGGTGGGATGCTCGATGGGGCGGGTCCTGGCCCTGCCAATGCTGTACTCACCATCATCTTGTCACTCTTGTTGCTGAAGCAGCCAGTGGAGGACTTCTCGGTGTAGGTGTTGCGGGCGTTATACTCCAGCTGGCGGTAGCGGGTGGGCACCTCAGCATCCAGGCGGTAGGAGAGGTTGTGCAGGACACACATACAGTTTTCCACAGACTGGGGACCAAGGAAAGGCATGGGCCTGAGCCTCTGCCCAGCCAGACAGGCTCCTGGCCTACCACCTACCCTAACTAATAAGAGAGCAGAGGCACCTGGGCTGCATCGGGAAAGATGAGCGCAGGCACCACCACACTCTCAGCCTGGAAAGTCTTCCAGGGCTACCTCTGGGACCTGAGTTTGAATCTGTCATTTCCTCGCTGCATGAACTTGACTGGCCTCACTTCTCTGGGCCTCAGCTATCTCAACTGTAAAATGGGACTGCATTCATCCACTTCACTAGGATATTGGGAAGATGATACAGAGAAAGCACTTATCACAGGCCCTAGCGTGTAGTAGGACTGCTATGGACAACATGCCAATGGGTAGACTGGGATGCTGAAGAATGTGTCTTTTTTCCCAGAACAAACTCCTCCAGAAGAAGCCCCATGCCTCTAGATTCCAAAGCCATCTAGTGCCCCCATCATTCCTTCTTCCTATGGGCCAGTCCTTAGCTGTCAATGCCAGTGGTGCTAAGTCAACAAACAGCAGCACCTGGAACCCAGGGCTTCATCCTGGCATGGGCCCAGATCTTTGTCAATCTCCTTTGGCAAACCTCCAGGACTAGGGTTTGGGGGCAGCAGATTTACCCTTCTAATGATGTTTGGCCCTTGCTAGGGCCTAAGGGAATCTGACTTCCAGGGCTTGGGGTTACATAGGTGTTGGGGATGTTGTGCCCAGAGCAGAAAAGCGTCTTGTCAGTTGGAACCAGGCCGAGCAGCCCAGCGTCACTGCTCTCCTCTGCGACCCTGCTGCTGTTTCCAGTGGAGGGAGCAGGAGATAAAATCCCTCCTCACGGAAACTGTGCTGAGAACCCAGATGCTGTGATGCCAGCCAGTCCCCTGGCGGTCTGGGGCCTGCTGGACCTCACTATCTCCTGAGCCACTGTCCTGCCATGGTGGGGACATCTCAGCCTTCTGTTTATCTGCCCTCCACGATTTTGTTTTCTCTCTGTTTGTGCTGTGTGTCCAGAAGTCCAGAGAGGGCAGGAAGGTGACTCTGCCAATGGCTTTTCTGGGAGGCAGTGGGAAGATAGCAGTGGCAGAAAGAGTCTCATCTCAGGGGGGACACTAAGCCCTGGGGGCACCAGTATGGATTCCTCGGGGCTGTGGGGCAGGGCTCGGGGCCTCAGGACAGGGCTCGGCACCGCCAGTGAAGTGCAGCCAGCAGATACTCTCTGGGAGCTTCCTCTGTGCCAGGCCCTCTTCGTGTTTTGCTTATTAACTAATCGAGCCTTTCAGACAACCCATGAGTTGATATGATTATGACCATTTCCATTAGAGTGAAGAGTGAACTGGGGAACAGAGAGATGAGGGAAGCAGCTGCATCGACTACACTTCTAAGTGAGGGAGAGTGGATTTGCATGGGCACACTGCCCTCAGAGCCCACCCCTGTAGCCACACTGGGCCCTGCATCCAGATGCCCCTTCTACCACCCCTGGCTCTGTGCTACTGTCTTGTCACTGGGCCAGGCCTCAAAGGCACCCAGAAAACGTAGGGGTCTGGGCCTAGGGGTCAGGGTGCCACCAGGGGATGCACTCACCTTGTCGTCACAGCGGCTGGCCGCTACACAGTTCTGGACATAGGCCATGAGGGAATCAATGAGCCCTGAGTAGTTACGCATGGTCTGGCGGCCTGCATCGGCCGAGCTCAGGTTCCTGGGGAAGAGATCAGAGAGTGGGAGAGGGCAGAGAAAGGGGGAAGAGTGAACAGGAAAGGTAGAGACAAGAAAGTGTGGTGTGGGACAGGAAGGAGAGAGAACAGGCAGGGGAGGGGAGGGCAGAGAGGAGACGACGGGGTGGAGATTGGAAGTTGTAGTAGGAGGAAGGAAGGAGAAGAGGAAAGGGAGGAAAGGAATGAAGGGAGGAAAAGATGAAAAAAGAAGGAAAGAGAAACCATTTAGCCAATTCCGCCTGGCCCTGGCTGAGGCTGAAATGAGGGCTCATTTGCACTCAGTTCTTCTCCTCCTTCACTCTGCCCAGTAACTGTATAACTGGCAATGGCTCCATGTGGCAATGGTCCCTCTGCAGCTGCAGCCCAAGGCCCACACCCTGCTACTAGCAGCCGTTTGTGGAACAAGAGCCAGAAGCTCCCACATGCCCAGTCTCTTTCTGTGGGGCAGGAAGAAGCTCTGTTGATGCTGGATCAGAAGTGGAGCTGGGGGTGGCCAGGCTGGGCACCAGAAGCTCTCTCTCCACCCAAGCCGTGTTCTGCCCCTAGCAGTAGGCTCATTCCCAAGCAATCTGGGCTCATCAGCCTGGTGCAGGTGGGGTGTGGCTGCTGTTGCTACCGATAGCACATCAACCCCATAAAACTCTTAATTACCCTCACTTTTCATCTCCCCAGCCTCTCTGCTTCCTGGAGGCTGCTACTGGAGGCTGGCAGGGAGAAACACAAGTTGAGACACAGAGGCACATGCCAGCTGCACCCACCACTCTGAGGGGGGGATGGTTCTCAGGAGCTGGGAAAGACAACTCCCATTAAAGCGAGCTGGGACCCTAAAAGGGATCCTGCTCCAGGGTTCCAAGCCCTGTACAAGCCGCCCCTCCACACCCACCCCTCTCACCAGCTTGTAAACCTCTGGTTCTAGAACAAGCCCTCCCACCAGCCCCACAGGAGCTTTGCCACACCCTGGTACGGAACTTAGGCAACTTTGGGCGAAGCAGTGCTATCTTCATGCCAATGAACATGGCAAACAGTTTTAACACCACAGCTGGGAAGTGACTCATTAGCAACCCATCGGTAGACTTTTGTCTAAAAGAACACTCTTCAAGATAGCACAAGAAATGCATTTTTTCATGGGGTGGAGGAGGGAAATGGTTGAACCAGTTTGGATATTCAGATCCAGGCATTTCACACTCAGATTCCTGATTAATGTCCGCTGCATTCTCTCAAAGCGGGTGGTAGGGTCCTGGGCCTTATCCAGATCCAGGGAAGTTAGGAAGGTCTGAGTCCCTGTGTCTTGCAGCCTGCCCATAAGAGCGAGTGCCAGGTTGTCTGTTATGTTCTATGCACTGGCTGAATGTTGGCTGAGATGGGGCTGTCTGGGGAAGGACCCGAGGCTGGCACAGAAAGACCCCATGTATCTTCTTCTCTCACCTCAAGCAGCCTGTGGCATTGAAGAAGACCTCAGGGTCCACCACTTCCCGGGACATGTTGCTATTGCCATCGCACCAGCCAGAGAAGGGGATGATGACGCGGTCGGCCAGAACAGGCAGGGCATCGGCAATGAGCTCCTCCTTCAGCTCGTCAGTGGAAGACAGGTTCCAGAGCAGTCCTGGGGGGCAGAGACCATCATCCCAATTTGTGCCAGGCTTGGGATGCCCTAGGGACCGAGGTAACAGCCCCAGCCTGGACTCTAGCAAATGGGCCCTACTGAAATGTCACCTTCCAGGTAGCCCTGGTCTATAGAACCTATTGTCTGACTGTTTCATGAGACCATTTCTCAATGTTCCAACCAGACTGAAGGTTCCTTGAGGGCAGGGAACATCTCAGAGTTCTCTGTCAAGGCCAAAATTATGCATGTGGAAAGTGATCAAAAAACGTTTGATTGCTCAGTGGTTTTTAGTGTAAATTTTAGCACTTGGAATCTTCTAACGCAGTCTCTTTTCCATCTAAAAGTTATTCCAGAAATACTTATCAATTGTTACTCTGTACATGGTCTGATCTTCCCAGTCCAATTCTAGGTCTTCATGGTGACCTCTTCCTCTTGTGCCCCCCACCTTGAGTGCTTACCATATTTCTTGAACACAGCGTAGGTGCTTAAGACCTGTTAACCCCTTCCCCCTTCAGTCTTACTCTCTTTCCATCACCTGGGAATCCCAGGGCTTGTGGAATATGGATCTTGCCTGGACATCAGCCTTCCTCCTTTTGCTCTTTAACCTCAAAAAGATGGTGGCCCCTTGTGTGTGTGCACACCACCCAAGGTCACCCTCTGGATACCCCTAATTGGTCCAAGGCCAGTGTCACTAAACTCTCAGGATATTGGCCCTGGGTCAAATCTGTACAGCTGTGTCTTGGCCCAGCCTGGAGAGGTTGACTTGCACGCCAGTCTGGGGCCATAGCCAGTGGCCTTGCACAGCCCCCACGCTGGCTCTCCATGGCTGTGGCGTCCTACCGGTCAACTGCTTCTGGATCTCGGCATTCCCAGTTCTCCTCAGGAGGGTGACTGCCTCGCGGATCCCATTCTGCCTCCGGGTCTCCAGCTTGTTGGTGGTGCTCCTGAACACCAGGTTGCGCAGGGCCCCTGCTGCGGCCTGCTGGACGTTCTGGTTGGGGCTGCGGAGGAGGTCCACCAGCTTGCAGATGCCTCCCAGCTGATAGACCTGCCAGGAGAGAGTCGCCACACTGCCTGGTCAAGGGAGATGAGGCTGATCTAGTTATTGTCTACTCAAAGCTGATTTTTTTTTTCAGACCAAAAAATATATCAGTTCAGAAATATTCAAGTCTACCAAAATAAATAAGCAGTGTGAGGTCATGATAACTGACCCAGACCAGGAGGCGAAAGACCTGGATGCAGATCCTAGCTCCCATATCCTAGCTCCCATATCCTAGCTGGGAGACCCTCAGCTAGGGTCCCTCCTCTTTCCTGAGTCCTGCTTTCTTCCTCTGGAGAATGATGGTGAGGACTTGATAAGAAAGTGGATGTAAATACATTTCAAAACCCTAAAGCAGAACACAGACATAGAAACGGATACGATCTTATCCGGGACTCTGGGAAACACGTTTCTGACTACATCCTTGGGCTGAACTGAAGAGCCCTGTAGTGTCCTTCCCGCCAGCAAAGCTTTGGAGGCATCAACAGGCCCTGTTTTCTACAGTAAAATGCCTGGAGAGAGAAGGGGAGTGGGAGAGAGGAAGCGGGTAGGAGGGCAGGAGTTGAGAGGTGGGGAGCAGTCATGTTCTTTAGTGGGATTTGAGAAAGGGGGTTTCTGTTGAACCTATGGCTGGCATTGAAGTATCTCTTCCACGACCAGTGGAGGAAGTGTACCTGCCTAATGTCCACTTAAACAGAGGGCTTTGCTCTGCAGAAAGTTAAGATGCCCAGCTCTAACCTTGGGCAATGTGAAGGCCCCTGGCAGCTGGGCAGGGCGAGAAGAAGCCAACTGCAGATGCCCCCACCCATCTCTAAGAGCAGAGTCAGGCTGATACACGCAGGCCCTGCGCAGGCCCACCAAGGAGGAAGGTATGCAGCAAGCTACCTGTTGCTTGGCAGATTCATCCTGGAAGCAGGTATGCTGGATGTAATAGGCCCCAATGGCCTGGTACTTCTCATCCTGGGAGCTCAGGTACTGCACAGCCTTGGGGATGGTCAGCCCACTGCACTCGATGTCCTCACTGCAGATCCTGTGAAGAATGGGCAGTGGGGGTGGTTACAGGGTGGGCTGGGAGCCCTGCTGAGGGGGCTCAGAATTCCTCCTGGTACCCTAAGCTGCCACAGCCTAATCGCAGTCTGGGCCCACCTGGAGAATACCCCTGGGAACGGTTCCTCTCCTCCAGAGAAGGGAAAGCTACACCCACTGGATGTTGGGTGGATTTGCCCCATGTGAGAATAGTGAACCCCTGGATTTGCCCCATGTGAGAATAGTGAACTGGATTTGCCCCATGTGAGAATAGTGAACCCCTGGTCACAGTTAATGTCCAAGCAGGTATGTTATCTCTGCACTGAGGAAAAACTCCTCCCTATTCCCTGAGGGGAAGCTTCCCACCCACCTTGCCATCTCTCTTGTTTGTGCCTGGTATTAGAAAAATGGAAGACAATGGCCATGATCCCATCCATCCATCCATCCATCCATCCATCCATCCATCCATCCATCCATCCATCCATTCATTTGTCTATCCATCCATCTATCCATCCATCCGTCCATGCATCCATCTATCCACCCATCTGTCCATACATCCATCCATTCATCCATCCATCCAACCATCCATACATCCATCCATCTGTCCATCTATCCATCCCCAAGTCCAGCTGGGCTTACACAAAAATTTTCACATCTATCCTTTCTTCCCATTCTTACAGCCACCAATTTCCTGATCTTGATCACTTTAATGGCAGCAAGGGAATGCCATATTTGGCTTTCTTCCTCAAGCTCCCCCATCTAAAATTCTTACCCTTTTTACTAGATAAGTGGTCCTAAAACCCTGTTCACTGTGTTGTTCTCTAGCTCAGAAACCATCAGTGGCTTCTCCATACTTCAGGTTCAAGTTTAAACAGCTTAGCCTGATATCCAGGGGCAGGTATTGGGTTGAATCATAGGAAATGTCTGTAGTCAACCTTTTTTGAGCCATAAAACCAGACATTTCATATGTTTTAACCTAATAACCTGGCTGCACTATGAATATTCCCCAGCCCCTATCCAGGGTCTGCTCCAGCAAGACTGTCCCCTTCACTGGACCCTGGCCAGGTCTCAGGCATGCCTCAAGGCACGCCACTGGCCCTGCTGAAGCCCCACCTCTGTGAAGCGTTCCTAGGAAAGGGAAACCTGTCTTTTAAGAACCTCTCCAGTTCCCTTGGTGTAGAGTCACAGGGTGGTGACTGGCTGTGTCCAGCATTCAGAGAGGGAGCCCTCTCCTCATGCTTTGACATACCTGGTGGTCAATAAATAATCATGGTTTTAGCTACAGCAACCCAACTTCATTTCTAAGAAAACCACCTGAGGAGCAGAGCTCTCTGGCACTGAGTTAGTAGAACTGTTGCCTGCATTGAGAGAAGGTCACGGCATTCATCAGTAAAATGGCTTGACACTCATCCCTTCCATATCTCACCTAGAACCTCCACTCAGGGTCTCTGGTTGGGGCAATGAGCTGAAGCCAGAGGCTGCCCTGATCAGCCTCTAAGAGAGAGCGGTTTCTAAGTTCTTCTCCAGATCATCCTAAATACGCCTTACAGCCTTCAAGTAGTTAGGAAAAGTCTAGCTCTACAATGGGGTCCTGCTTATTTTCAGAACAGTGTGGTATTGGTAGGGAAGAGCACAGGATGGAGAGCCAGCTGTGTGGCCTTGGACAAGCTGCTTAACATCTCTGTGCCTTGTTTTCTCCTCAGGAATATTCATGCCTGCCTGGTGAGGGGTGTGAGGATTAAAGACAAAGAATGCAAAGCTCCTGAGGCTCTCTGAAAAGGAGTTAATTGTGTAACTCCAGAACAGCTCTGGGTTGTCCCTATCATGGTTACTGTTCCCTGCACTCGCCAAAGAGTCTGGCATGTAGTAGATGCTCGGCAAACGTTTGCCAAACAAATAACAATGAGCAGTAGGTGGTGATGAAGGACAGTTCAAAGGTTCAGGGAGCCCCCAGCACTGAAGGGCAGGCTCAATGCCACTCACAACACCTCTGCGTCTATGGTTCCTAACGGCGCACCCCATTCGGTGTCCTTTATTCCCTCTGGGTGATGGCCATCAACATCTATGCACAGGAGTTGTGCTCCGTTCTGTAGCACTAGATCATGAAGCCCCATGAAGTCCCTCAGGGTTTTTGTTGTTGTTGTTGTTGTTTGTTTGTTTGTTTGAGACAGAGTCTCACTCTGTTGCCTGGGCTGGAGTGCAGTGGCACTATCTCAGCTCACTGCCACCTCCACCTCCTGGGCTTAAGTGATTCTCTTGCCTCAGCCTTCTGAGTAGCTGGGACTACAGGCGCTTGCCACCATGCTTGGCTAATTTTTGTATTTGTTTGTAGACATAGGGTTTCATCATGTTGTTCAGGCTGGTCTCAAACTCCTGAGCTCAAGCACCCTCTACCCACTCCTGCCTCAGCCTCCCAAAGTGCTGGGATTACAGGTGTGAGCCACCACACCCAGGCCATGTCCCTTAGTTTTTATGTCTATTCATCCTATTTGTCTTTTGGATTTACAGGTTATGTTTTAGGTTATGTTGTAACATAACCTAAAACCCATTCTTTTCCCATCATCCGTACAGGGGCATATTCCTTTGCTCTCTCAGAACATGGATAGAGATTTACATACCTAAGATCAGAGGTTCTCAAACTCTAGTGTAAATCAGAATCACTGAAGGGCTTGTTAAAATACGCATTGCCGGGCCCCTTTCCCAGTGTTAGGATGGGTCCCCACGTCAGCATTTCTAACAAATTCCTGGGTGATGCTGATGTTGCTGGTTGGAGGAACACACTTTGAAAACCATTAACCTTCCTCTGTTCATAAACTGTGACCTTTAAAACCTACACAGTCGATGTCTGTTTCAGTTTCACTCTAAGAACTTCTTGAGGTCAAGGGCCCATCGGGCCAGGTTCTCCCCATCAGGGAGTCCATCACATCAGGGACAATGAACTCCCCAGGGACAGAAGCTATGTCTCTCCTGTCATCCCAGGAGATCTTTGCAGGGTGCAGTCAGGCTAAGGGTGTGTCTCCCCACTGGCCCTCCTGGCTCCCCAACCCAGCCCAGCAGCACTCACTTGGAGCTGGCCCTAGAGTGGCTGAAGGACAGGTCCTTGTTGCAGGAGATGGGCGGGACATACACGGGGTCCTGCTTGGAGGCACAGGAGGGTGGGCGCACAGGGCACTTCTTCACGGCCTTCTGACCACTGCAGGTGCTGTAAAAGCTGTAGCGGTTCTGGGTGGTCTTGTGGCCCTTGCTGCCCAGCGTGCCCTTGCGCAGGGTGCCCCGTGGGTCACAGTAGAGGTCGGGCTCACTGCGGCTCGCCTTGATTTTCTGCATGAAGCAGATGTCGCTGCCTGCTCCGGTGGTGTTACAGCTGCCCCGGGGATAGTGTCGGCTCCAGTTCTCCATCTGGCTGTAGGAGCTGAAGCGCCTGTTGTCAGGCTCCCGCTTGAGGGTTCCATTGTAGATCTGGCCAGGGAAAGGGAGGAATAGTTCAGTCAAGGTTCCTAAGTGGTGGTCCTGGATCCAGCAGGGCATGAGATAACAGCCCTCCCCAGCCCCCATAATAACGCTCAGAGAATCCCAGAATGTTTGGCGTGGAAGGAACCTGAGCCATCAACTGATATATTACTTTTCTGACTGCAGACTGTGACGCATTATGGATTATAAAGTCAATTTAGAAGACTGTGACCATCATTTTTAAAAAGATGGAATAGAATAATATATCCTGGAATATAAAATATCAGAGTGCAGTGCAGGTAGTAAAGTCACACATTGTTTTGTGAAACAGTGTATGGGTACTGGATTGCAACATACAATGCATTTATTACTGTGAATTGCTGTCAAAAAAGTTTGACAACCTCTGATCTAATCCCACATGGTACAGTCCAGGAGGGGGAGTTGGAGGCCCAGAGAAAAGTGACCTTCTAGTAGTCACTCAGTGAGGAAAGGATAAAACCCAGACTTGAGCCTGGGTCTCCAAGCCCTATGCCATTCCCAGACACCAGCAGCTTCTCACATAGCCAGCCTTCTTTGGCCCCTTATACTCAGCACACAGAAACTTCTATTCTGGCCAGGACTGTTTTCTACTGTTCTTTTCTGCTAGACTCTTCATCTTGCCTCCCCTCTTCCAGGACAAGAAGCAAAGGGTAACAGATCACCTCAAAGGCCAAACAGGGACAATATTCCTGCTCCCTGGGCCCTTTCACAAGGGACTGTGAGCTAGGGGCCTGCTTGCACACATGGAGGCAGGCCTGGGGCTGCAGGGTTGGGTACAGGGAGGGCCTCCTGGGCTTTGTTGTCAGGCTGGCAATGGGGAGAAGCCTGGGCAGAGGCTCAATTCAGCATGAAAACATACAACAGACAATGAGGTGCCCCAGGGGCTCTGTGTGAGCCCAAGTGGGGAGTTGGCCTCCTTGGGACGAGCCTCTGAGGTTGGAGACTTGGTGGGAATTAGCTCTGGAACAGAACTCTCCGAGGAGGACTTTCCCAGGAGCTCACAAGCTGGTGGGTCTGACCTGCTCCAACTTGTTCTCAGAGTAGGGGATCAACATCGAGTCTGATAAAAAATGTCTTCACACAGGTGCTGACTTGGGACTCACCTTTGCTGGGATGGGCCAGGGCCAAACCCAGCAACCCAGGGCCTGCCTGCCCACCCCTGCCCCTCCCTGAGAGAGGGTGGGGGGGGAGAGAGAGAGAGAGAGAGAGAGAGAGAGAGAGAAAGGAAGAGAGAGAGAGAGAGAGAGAGAGAGTATATGTGTGTTTAGAGGAGGTCGTTAGGCAACTGGGTAATTCCCTTCCACACCAGATCTAGCCATACAAGGCTGGGGAGGGGCTGACACTCAACTTGGTCCTTTTTCATCTCTGCAGGGAGTCACAGACAGCAGGAAACTCCCATGGTTTGAGCTCCCAGAAAGACTGGGTGTCAAACCACCAGTCAGAAGTTGCATCCAAAACTCAGAAGCCACAGACTGTTAACCTTGGCAATGGCCTGCTCATCTCCTTCACCCACACACACAGCTGTGCACTCAGGCAGGCACAATTTTCTTCCCCAAACTGGGTCAAACCAACCTACCCCAAAGAGAACTGGTGTCTGGTTGTTGGGAGAGGCATAGATGGACAATCACAAGGCATGGGGAGAGGAGCTGGGCAATTTTCTGAGCATCTGGGTATGGAATGCGTGTCCTGCAGATTACAGGCAAAATATGCCATGAAAGCCTTTATAAATGGCCACACCCTCCATTCTCCTCTCAGGGGAAGGAAGGTGGCAGATGACAACATGGAGGGGGAAGCCCAGCATTGCCAAAGGGCGAAGAGCCAGCTAAGCCTTAAATGGAAACACAACAAGGAGCACCCTTGTTCTCCGTAAAGGACACGCCTGGACGTCATCTCAGACACCTGATGAGAAGCCCAAACGCTCATCCTGGCCCAAACCCAGCAAAGATGTGATCATGCTGATTGAGCCTCTCAGTGGCTTTGGGCTTTGCTTTCGTGTGCTGGGAAAAGGAGCAGCTAGCAGCCTTGCCAAGTCACAGCCAGGGTGGGCTGCCCACAGGGAATGCGCACTGGCTGCACCCACAGGGGAGCGGGCAAGGTAGGGAAGGCAGGGACGTCCCCGTAGGACTGCATTTCCCAGCCTCCCACCGTCAGCCACACCCCAGTGGCATCACGCATTCCTGGGAATTCCACCCCAGCTCCTAGTGTCATGGTGCTGGTGGGCTGTGCTGCCTGAGGACAGCTGAGTAGGACTCTTTCCAATCATCATGGCCTTTTGCTGTCACTTTGACAAGCAGGAGTAAAGTCTCCTCTCATTAGACCCCATCCTCCCCAAGTACCATGAGGGGGCCTGGATTCCCTCCAAGGCATGAGGAGGTGAACTGCTACCAGCTCTCCCTGCACAAATGGCCTGGGACCTGAATGAAGCCTGCAGCCTTGGAGACTGAAATGGCAGCAACTGCCTGGGAATCGAGGTGCTTCCTCCAGTTCACTGGGCTGAGACCTACAAAGTGGAGGAAGACCCAGGGTCAAGAACACAGACTCTGGAGCCAGCCTGCCCTGGCCTTGTCAGTTGTCCAGTGCCTCAGTTTTTCCATCTGTAAAACTAGTATAATTTTACCCAACATAGAGGATTGTTGGGAGAATCCAATGAACTAATGTTAGAAAAGCACTCAGGACGGTCCATGACGTGAGTGTTTGCTCAGTAGGGACATTGTATCCCTCTGACTCTTAGATTGGGCACAGGTTGGCTGCCTTAGGACTTGGTTCCTAAAGGAGAGATTGTATGTCACCCGTGACATACCTAAAGGAGCTACCAGGTGTCATAAGAGGGAGGATGAACCCAGGAAGCCAAGACAGTCCAGGAAAGGTGTGTGCACCAGTATCAGAGTCCCATGCTAGTCTCACCCCACAGACACAAAACAGTTCTAAATATGTCTCAGAAAAGTGGAGGAGAATGGTCTGCCCAGATGGAGCACCTCGAGTGAAGCCAGGCTTTATCACAAATGGTGCAGTGTTTCTTTACGTGGGTGCTGTCGGCACCTGAGGCAGAACAGTTCTTTGTATAGGCTGTCCCAAGCATCCCAGGATGTTTAGTGCCCCAGCCTCCAGGCTCTAAATGCCAGTAATGCCTCACAGTCATTGCAAAATGCCCCCAAACATTTCAAAATGTGCATTGCAAAATGCCTCCACACATTTCCAAACACTGTCTTCCAGGTCCCGGGCGAGCAGCTGCAGCCAGAGGAGGACGCACGGACAGTGCACGTGTGCCTGTTGCAGGTGGGAGAGCTTCACTGCCAAGGCCGGCTCTCCCAGCCACACCCGCACATTCAGATGGCAATCTGCTGGCAGTGCCTGGCTCTTTGAATACAAAGGACAGTGACACACACACAACCTCTTGTCTGGTTATCCCATGGATCAGAACATTCCAGAGGCTGGAAACTCAATTTCCTGGGAGCAGAGTTGATTACTCTGCCAGACAGCAGGCTAGACTGGACAGCCAGACAGAAATCCAGAGCGTTCCGAGAGACATGTTTCTTCACTGGAGACCAGTGGGGCTTTCGAGGGTTCTCACCGTCCGAGGTGAGCCAGGAAAAGCCGCTTTTAGCTAGGAGCCCCCCAGCTGGTCCCTGCTCTGCCACCTGCTTGTGTAATTCCCCTTCTCCCCTTCCTTCTTGGAGAAGTGGGACGTTTTAACCCCACACTGAAAGCTCCCCTCTATTCCTGTCCCTCATTAAGTCAGGAAGCTCTCAGAGGCCAACCCCTCCTTTATAGGCAAGGAGACAGTCCCAGTGAAGCAATACAAGCCCCAGATTCAGGGCCTCAAAGAACTGAATATGACCAGTTGCCCCTTGAGAGAGCCATTCAGTGTGGAGTGGCCCCCAAAGCTGGAAAAGCTCCTGATTGCCCAAATCATCAGATAGGGTAGTAACCATTCAAAAAGAGATGGCATCCTCCTGTCCTTCCATTACAGAGTCCTCACTGACTCTCCTCTTTTACACCCCTGCTGCCCAGGCCCTGGCTCTGGCTCCCATCAGCTTACCACCAGGCCACTCCAGTGCCCCCACACGGCCCCTGCCCAGCCCCCAGGGCTCTGGTCCCTGCCTTGTGATGCCATCACTCCACGCTCCTCAGGGAAAGCTTTCATCAGCCCTTGCCACGCTGGAGAACCTACAGTGTCTGCTCCTTACAAGACAAACTCCTCAGCCCAGCCCCACCCTGCCTGTCCAGCCATCCCTTCCCCTCCCCAGCACACTAAGCTGCCCCATGACCTCAGCCACATCCTGGGCTCCCTGCTTCTGTTCAGATGCTCCTCCACCCTGAACAGCTTTTCCTCACCTGCCGCCTCCCAAGTACTATATTTCTCTAAGGCCTCTTCTCAACCTGTCATCTCTAAAAGGCTTGTTCTAACCCAGCCCTGTCTCCGTAACAACCAGAATTGGAATTATTTGCCCTTACAGCCAGGGACCTCTGGTCTTGTTTGTTTTCTAGTTGCTAATGTAGGTTTCTGTCCTTTCCCTGAGCTCTCCAGGGTAAAGATGCCCTTAATTGTCCTAAAACAGGGCTGAGTTCACAGCAAGAGCTCAGTGAAAGGTGGACTGACTGAGAATTTGTGCTAGGGATGGAGATTCAGGATGCTGATGGCACTGGAATTCCCACAGCCTCCAGGGCACAGAAGAGAGAGGAGGCACCATGAGTAAAGTGGGCTGGCAGGAGGTAGGGCCGTTCTAGGCAGGGTGAGGCAGCCTGTGCTGGTGCATGGCATGGGGTCCAGCTGTGATGTCCAGAATTCTTCCCTTTACCCCTTGACCTGAGCAAAGCAACTGGGTGGTTGAACCCAGAGAATTTTATCCAGCTCTAGCTGGACAGACAGAAGCTGCCGAACTCCTTGGGAGCTGGGTATGTTCCTGGCAGGACAAGATGAAAAGAGTGTCTGTGTCCCCAGCTATTAGCCCTTTTTGAAACCAAGCTTC